GGGGGGGGGGGGGGGGGGGTCAGACAGAGAATATACATATAACAATGTACTTTTGTGAAACCGTGTCTTTCTTGTAACAGCACACACTCCTTCCAACCCAAACTAATGAAATTCTCAGGTTCAACTAATGGGTGGTGGTGGTGGTGGTGGGGGGGGGGTGGTTGAACTTAAGTGGTTTTTCCAAGCAGCCGTTCTTCCATATTGTCAAACTGTTAGAAATGCTCTGCACACAGTTTTCAGCCAATAGCATTTTCATCAAAATTCATTGAAACTCCATTGAACTCGTCCCCTGGAAGAACATTTGAGGAGACGTTTATTGTTCTTGACAGAGTAAACTGAATTATTTCCAGAAGGAGCGTCGGTGTAAGTGATGCAAACAGGAGAGAGCAGTTCTCCTCCTCCTCCTCCTCCTCCTCAGATGAAGACCATTAACAGCAAACCATCAACATGACTGTAGTTCAACAGAACTAAAGACCGAGGACTAGGAAAAGAACATCCTGATTACCTTGGTCCAGGTGGAAATCCTGGTACAGGACAGTATTATATTATTTTCTGAATAAAAAAGTGAATTATTGGCCCTAGTTATTGGTAATCAGTATTGATTGAAAAATTACATATCGTAGTGAGCGCAGTTTTTAACAAAGAAAAAATAAACAAGATAACATTGGAATTGATTCGCCTGCTTGGCCTCTGGGGGGGAGGAGGGGGTGTAGGGGGGGGGCACGCCTCCCTCTTTGGGAACCACAGATTTATAGTGAGTCATTTTGGCATTTCATCCCTGAATGTGTGTTATTAATAAGTCGGTATAAATATTAAACAACAGCTACATCAACAACACTTGTTTCTCTTCCAGATTAAATTAATGTTCCGTCAACGACCGCGGGCAGAGACAGAAGAAGAAGAAGAAGAAAAGGCAGAGAGAACGGCAGTTACCTCACAGAAGAGGGTGAGCTTGTCGTCTGGCAGGAGTCCATTGGCTTCATCCAGGAGAAAATCTCTCCTTATAAATTTTTTGAATCCCCAGTCTTTACCTTGGACAAATCTGTAGGCTCTTTGGCTTTCTGTGACGAAAAGAAGAAACAGTATCAGCACGTGTCGCCATTTATACAAAACAACAGGACACGAAGAGGCCGCAGCACCACAGTCCAACTGCCAACTCACCCATCGCTTTCGTCTCCTCTCTTTTAGCATTCAACAGTGAAAATTTGAACTTGGCTCTGACTTCACTTTTTGGACAACTAACAAGTAGTAAATACAAGGACAGGTAGTCTTTACTTTCATCGTCGAGTCCTTTGGGGTTGACTCGTAGACACCTGGAAAGAAAACACACAGAAAATCTCACAGCCTTTTATAAAGTAATTATCACTTATTTGAGCTGTTACTTGTAAAATTAATATTTAATTTAAAAAAATGAATATTATTTTGAGCTACAGAGGCAGAATGATATGTTTTTAAATGTTGTGCACCAACCATTTCATTTTGTCATTTGGACCAGAGGAGAAAGTTGAGCTCTTCAACACCTCACCCATTTCTTCTCTGCAAAAACTAAAGTTGTTTATTGTCCACATGTAGGAAAACTTCACAACTTTGACCTTGGGGGAAAAAAGATGAAGCAAATAATCAGAACAAGTGTCTAGTTTATTTATATCATTGGGAAAAAAAAAAAAAACATGGTTCAGTTTGACTGTGTAAACTGAAAAATGAATGAAAACAGCATGGCTTCTTAAGATAAACCCACTCTAGTCAACCAGACACTAACACGGAGACTGTCACTGTCACTGTCACTGTCACTGTCACTGTTACTGACGGTTCAGCCGAAATCTAGCAATTAGCAGTGAAATTATTTTTAAAAGCCTTCTTTAATAATTACTTCTTAAATAAGTCTACTTTCATAATTAAGTAGCGGTTCTTAAATCTATAAAAGAAAATCTAACAGTAACAGTAATGAGAAAATGTAAACCATGTTTCTATACAGAAGAATAAAAGCCTACCTGCGTCCTCCCTCATTTGTCCAAACACATGCACTGACAGAGCTGCACGGATGATTGTCTCGTGGTAAATAAGACAACGGTCTATATAGTTCTCCATACTAACGTTTTATTGTTAAGACCCCAACTCCAACTAGGGCGGTGCCTGGTTTTGACCGTTTTTATTGTTTTTTGCTTTAAAGATTCGCCATCGCAGAGAAGCTAGGAGCGAGTATGAAGCAGCCGCAGTCACAACAGTGACGGTGAATGAAACAAGGAAAACGCTTTAGTCACACAGCGTTCAGCTGAGCGTCTGCATCGACTCACAGCTGCACACAGCCTTAAGAACACATGGTAATCCACCTCTGGTCTGACTCTGTCGTAACTTGTCCATACCTGTGTGTAACACCAGCTCTCTGCCACAGGTCCACTTGACATCTCCCCAGGAGGGGGAGGGGTGGGAACCCGTGACATCCCTGGCCTGGGAGAACCACTCGTCTGTGTCCTTGACCAGATGAAAATGGAACTGTTTTAGTAATTGTTGAGGTCAAGTTTAAAACACTATTATCACAGAAAAGAACTACAAACACTAGAGCATTGTTGTAGGTTTGGAAAAAATAAAAAAACTTCCAGGACAGTCGTGGTGCAACATTTGAATCAGTCACAGAAAGTAGTTCTGTAAAATGAACTGAGCAAAACAGAGAGGACGGGCGGCTGAACAAAAGAGCTGCAACTTCAGGTTCAATATATCTGCACCACAATTAGTCAACGACTAATGAAGTAGAGTTGAGTTTTGATTTTCTCGCTGTAAAGACGAGCAACAACATACACCACCACATTGATGACGATGATCATAAATGATTTTGTCCAGAGCCCAGACTCTAACACCAACACAGTCATACAGTCTGTTTACCCTCACAGCTCTCACTAATACCCCAGAATCCACTCAGCTTTTTAACTACTGTTAATATTTCATACATAGTTAAAAGACAAAAACTATGGTTCACTAGGACGACTGCATAAAATAACTTTTTAAAACAATAAGTCTGTTGTCAGTGACCACTAAAGTCAGTTTCCATGTTCAAAAACAAAGGGTCTGGATGACTGAAATACCAAGTTTTCAGTCAGTGGTAAGGTATTATGGGTAGTTAACAACAGAATGGGTCAGCATGTCCGTCTGTCTCTGCAGCTCAGGGCAATTCAGGCATTTGTGGAAAATTGCAGCCTTCACCATTAAGAAAGTTCTTCAACTGTGGCAGCTCCTATTGATTATACATAAGAACCGGACAGAACCGTCTCAGCTGCACATTGTGCCTACAGAGTGAGGCTGCGAAAAAAAGCTAAAATGCTGTGCTGGCATCATAAGTTACTTGGTTGAAATGCAAGTCTACAGATAAAGTGAGAGAATAAGATAAGAAGTCCTTTATGTTTGGACATGGACAATGATTTAAAGTTGGACCATCTGAGCAGAGTCAGATGATGAATAAGTCGCAGCACAGAAGCCAACAGAATCATCCGACTGCACTACAAATGCAGCGTCCACTAATATTTATATTCCACCAGGGCATTACTGCCAGCACTGGCAGAACACATTACTGCTGAAACCCCCTCCAAGGGCATTAGAGGCAGCATGTCCACTGGCCAGGGTGCACTGACATCGTAACAACGACGGATACAACTCACACTGTGATACTAGCAGCATCTGGACTCAACTTACTAAAAAAGAGACGTTTCCAATTAGGTTGTATCACAACAAGGGTAACAAATATCCATGCACTGGAACCGAGTGAAAAAAACATCGCTTTATGTTTGAGAAGATGGAAAGCAAATTGACATAACTGAGCAATGTGCAGCGACAACTTTGTTTCTGTCATTGGCTTCAAAATGTAATCTTTTCCTGTTGTAGGGCAGCATGTTGATTTACAATTAGTCTTTAGTATTTACACAGAGACAATAACTCGCACTCTCTATAGTTGACACTGCAAACTCTGTTCTCACACTGGGATTTCCCAATAAATGATGATGAAACGTGCATCTAGAATTATGTCCCTGCAATGAATAAGAGACAATATGGTAACTATTTGAGGTATTTCTTAATTTATGTTTATATCAGCAACCTACAAAAACAAATGAGAGTTTATCTACAATTTTCCTAAATGACAGCATATTATGATTTTAATTCCATTAGTATTTATCCATTCTATTGGATTAAAAATATGCAGCAAGTTTTCTTTACTTTGAAAATCACTTTGGGGGAGAGTTCTGCCAGAAGGAAATAATTTGGAGCCCTTCTAAAAATGGCTCACTGTAAAATATAAATCATGCAGTGTGATTAAAAAACTGAATTTATTTTCAACACCTCTTACTGATTGAAATGCACAGCGATGAAGTTTGTCTAAGTTTTCACAGGATCTGTCATGGTCCCATCTCCAAGTCCCACCCTAGAAAACAGAGAGAGACAAAGACTTGAAATCTGACAGAACACCTCGACTTCCAGGTATCAAGACGACAAACCACAAAAGGTGAGTGAGAAAGTGAAGCACTGATGCGGCAGGAACAGGTACCAGGAATATAACTGTGGGCTTCAACGTTGTCTCAGCATGTGGTACCAAAGTTATAATCAACTAAGATATACTTTAGGTTCACAGTACAATGATGAACGACATGTCGACTTTATTAATGGGCTTTTATACATTTCCTGCTTTTATAATAAGACGTTTTTGTAGTGTTCAATAACTAATGTTCGGCCCATCCGCTCCTCAGTTGAATAAGATCATTCTAGACGAACATCTAACTTCGTTAGCAACGTGTAGTCGTGTTTAAATACTTGTAATTGATTAACTAACACTACATTCTACCTTTTATCAAATCGTTATAGTTAATTCAATTCCTAGCATCATTAGCTAGTCAAGATGTTAGCGACTGAGACTAACACTAATACAGGATCGACAACACCGGCAAGCAACAGCCAGTGTTAGCTTGACATGTATTTGTCAACATTAATTCAAACAACAGTCAGTTTATGCAGCGGGACTTAATTTAAACTAATGCGCATTTCAATAAATAGCGTTTACAGCCTAAACTAAAACCACGGGATTGTACGAATTTAACGAACCCCTGTATAACACGTCTTTCGCTAAGTCAGACCATAATTAATGTTCATATTTCAAGATAGCTGACTTCAATTTAGCCTGGTGCCGCTAATGTTACTAAAATTCATCGGGGCAGCATGTTTATAATAACAGTGTTCTCTAACACGAGGCAGACAAATATTACTATCTTTGCTCAAGTATTTCTACTTGCTAGCTATCGATACATCAACTCAATCGTGGTCCAAGGTGGTTCCCATAATTACACAAAGTAAAACAAAGGGCCTTCACTGACTCCACTGCTGGAGGCTAACGAACCGAAGCTAACGAAGACCTCACGTTTTCTGTTGGTGTAAAAACAACAGCGGCTATTAGCTTTAGCTACCACCTAGCCGGAGCTAATCTCTGCACTGATGCTCAAAAAGTTTAAAAAGACGCGGCGACGGCGTACCTTTCAATTCCATACTTCCACATATATCGAGTAACACATGTAGCTTCGTGTCACATTCGCTCCTCTCAACCTCGATCACTTAAATTTCCCTTTCCACCCAGTCTTTTCACAAGGCTTCTTTGTCTAGTTTTAGAGAAGGTTAGCAGGCTGTGTAGCAAAATGATAGCTGCACGGCTTTGAAAATACAGCCTCTGCGCATGCGCGACCGTGCGACACAACATCCTGGTCCAGCCTATGGCTCTATAACTGAGTCTGAGACAGAGCTATTTTTTAAATAATAATTATAATAAATAAAAAACAGCATCGTTGACACATCGACACCAACAATTAAAAAAATCTAACAATTATAACTGACATGAAGTGACCACATCACCTCCACATGTACAACTAACTGGTAAAGTACGGAGAAAGTCATTTTACATTCAGAAATTAGCGTCAAACTTGAACTTGAGCTTTTACTTGGTTCTGTCGAATAACTACTATTACTCCTACTCATGTTAAAGTAGAATGTAGTAGCTTTAGGTTATAAATGTGTAAAGTAATAAATGTGTATAGTTATAGAGTACACTTCTCTACTGTAACATACTGCACAGAGTATTCCAACAACTTAAATAAAATATAACCTCCTGAAATATTATTTTTTCAAAAACAAAAGAGAGAAGCAAATTCTTCATGGAACAGTTGCTGTGTTCCAGATTGGAACAACAAAAAGACATCTCTGTTGTTTGCTTTTTTGAAAGCGGACAAAGTGATAAATGAATAATGAATATTAATTGTTTTTGTCCTATTACTGAAACCTGTTGCTCTATGGACCTGTTGTTTCTCACAGAGTTCCTAATGAAAACAATAATCCATAAAGACTCGTGTCGTTTGTGTTAATCAACACTGTTTCCTCTGAATGGAAACTTTTCTGCACAATGAGCAACAACTATCTCCTCCGTCATCAAACCTGTGACGCCGTCCGTCTGAACGGACAAAGAAAAGTGCGGCCTTTGAATTTTCACACCTCGTTGCGATGGCAAACTCTCAATCAGTTTGATCGGATGTGCTGTAAACACAACAGCAAATGTCACACTTTAAGAAACGCGTCCACATCAAATGCTGCTGAATATCACTGTGATAGTAGTGACCTTTATCTTGAAGAGGAAAGTCTGGACCATGAAGATAAACTCCGTTTTATCAGATTAAATCAGTTAAAACGATTGACAACGCAATCCTACAGTTGGACAACCAGAATATCATGTGTGGTTTTTGTGTTTCATCAGCAAATCTCTCCAACTGTGGTCCTGCAGATGTACCATTCCATCAGTTGACATCAACCAGACTGATCTGAGTTTCAGACCCGTCTGGGAGTTGTTCTTTCACACAGTAGAACTTTTCCTCTCAGACTGAAGAGTGAATAACACTGAATGCCTGATTTGTGCCTTTGTCCTATTTGATATGTTCATCAAGTCTGAATAGCCCACCACACAAAAGACTGGCAGATTCTCCACCTTGACTCATCAATAGTGTTTTAATTAAAAGAACCTCAAAATACCTCTGATATTCTTACTGACAGGGATGTATGTCTGTGATGATGAAGATGGATCCAGACAGAAGTGATGAATGAACAAGGTGAGCCTCGACGACCTCGGTCACACAGAGGTGGAACCAAGAACAGGCTCTGATATTGGTTACAGTTTTTCCCTGTTCTAAACTTTGACGGAACAAAGGATATTATAAAAACACAAAGTATTCCAGTTTCATGGTATTTTATTACATTTAAGCAGTGAGAGTCTGTGTAATATCCAAATGTCATCACTGTGATCATGAATAAAGTCTGTATAACCTGCAGCAGGATGGATCTCTAATCCAATCATAATGAAACGCCTGTAATTCTACATGAATCTTAAACTTTGTCTCCTGGATCACCTTGACAAACTAATCACTGCATTTAATGAAAAAAAAAAAAAAAGAGGAATGTTTTATGAAAAATATGCAAAGTGGAAAAATTAGTGGCTGCTCCAGAGGATATTCTGCATCTGTAATATTCAAGGTGTCCTTTACTTTACATTTGTTTAAATCACAATTTTCATGTTATGAGAAGATAATCTAGTTAATGTGTTGCCCACATGCAAATTTGCAGTGATCGGTGGATTAAAATTAACTAGCTTAGTCACGGTTCTCAGACGTATGATGGTTATTTTAGTTGTATTTTACCAAATATATCGTACCAAATACAATCTGCATCCAACATACTGTATACATGTATATTTATATAAACTGTATATATATATATACAGTATATACACAGAGTTACAAACTGGAATTTAATTTAAACCAAAAAAAAAAAAAAGTCAGGTAAATGAGGTAAAAAAAACCCAAACATTTCATCATTTTATCCATTCATACTTCAATTTTCTTCTGCCTTTAAAAGTAGGTCAGATCAGACTTTTCCAGAGAGTCCCTTCTCCGGCACCGTTTCCCAGCTGCTCCAGAGAGATGCTAATGTATTCATAGGCCAAATGAAATGTATAATCCTGCCAGTAAACTCTGGGTCTAACCAGGGGTCTCCTCTCTGTTGGACACGGCTGAGAATTTGAAAGAGAAGAAGCCTAGGAGACATCTTAATCAAGCGCCTGCACCTTTTCAACTCTTCTCTTCAGGACCCGACGGATCAGTGCTTATTCTCTCAGCTCTTACGTGTCAGATTTTCCTATCTTCAAAGGCTGGGTCCAGGCCCCCTCAGGGTACGCTTGTCTTTGGCCATAATTATCCATGATTTACTTTTTTTCAAACAGTAAAACTTGAAAACCTGTAACTACAGTTCAGGAGGACAAAGTCCTTTATATCATATCATCTACCTCCATTAAAGTGAACACATTACAATGACGGGCGATAGGGGGTGCTAGATTGACCTCTGGCACAACTGGTGCTAACATGTGAAAGTCATGTGGTCTGAAATGACCAGTGGATGGATGGATGGATGGATGGATGGATGGATGAATATGGATGAACGGATGAATGGTGAACGGATGAATGGATAAACGGATGAATGGATGAATGGATGGATGGATGGATGGATGGATGGATGAATCTTTCATCATTTTTAGGTCTAAAAATCCAAACCTAATTGTCAGAACTATGAGCAGGAACTTGTGACCCCCCCTCTTACCCCCCTCTTACCCCCCCTCTGGCCCCCCCTCCTGCCCCCCCTCTGGCCCCAGCCCTCCCGGCTCCATGTGGTTAAAAAAGGAATTAAAAACAGTGACCAGTTATTAGTCAAACCAAAGTCCACACTCAGACCTGTTTCCACTGAACTGTTTCTCATTGTGTCTTTTCAACAGTTCTGACTTGACTAAAAAGTGATGCATGAAGCAGCCACACTGACACACTGTCCGTCCACAATTACTGCTATTTTTCTTCATCACATGGGGGGGGGGGGGGGGGGGGGGGAGACTGCACACTGGCTCCACGTTATTAATGGTCTGACTTTGTGGGGAAATGAGACATCAATTTGACCAAAATGAAGTTTCATTTAGTTTGATTATCAAATGAACTATGACATCACATTAAAGTCAAATCTTTGTTCAAAGTTTCATGGTTGACACTTTCACTAATATCCTTTAATATTTCACTTTGTTCAAATTAAATCCATGGCAGACGTACTTTTATTACAGCACACGTCAACTCCGAGGTTAGTGGAACTGCAGTCAAACCTTTGGACATGTGTCCATAAAGTACATCACTGTCTGTCTTTCATCGACGCCTGTGGGTTCAATTCCCTGTGAGCCAAGAGCAGAACTGGACTAATTCAGCCCGTGTTCCTCTGATCACGACACCACTCTGTAGAACTGGCACCTCTGCAGCTCCATGTGAGTCGAAGGGTTTGTTCAAGGTAAACGTGACCCTGGGTCAGGCTCCACCTCTGGTTCAGACCGTTTTAATTTCATTTGTTCTGTCACAACGATGGACGTGGCAGCATTTCTGTCAGAGATGATTGGACTTTCTTTCTTTCCTGACTTCACTGTCCATCAGGCAACAACATGTTCTTTAAGTCTGTCGCATGTGTTTAAATATTAATATTACTGAAGGTTGGGTGACAGAAAATTATGATTGCGTTTAGAGTTTGGCGCCTCCTGTGGCGGCCTGTGTCAGTTGCAAAGACACAGTAAATTTACCCAATGTGGGTGTGGATGTGAACAATAACAACAACAACAACAACAACAACAACAACAATACTACTAATAATAGCATTTATAGTATTTCTTATTATTATTGTTATTAGTTGAAAGGCCGTCTGAAGTCCTGGAGCACCCGGGTCAGGAAGGTCAGCACCCGGGTCAGGAAGGTCAGCACCGCCCAAGAACCGGACTGGACCAAGTCCAGAAGACCACGGTGGAACCCTGAGGTGGAGGAGAACGTTACGAAGAGGAGAAACTTTGAGGAGGAGGAGGAGGAGGAGGAGGGAAATATCTTATATCTGATTTGAAGATATGCAGACGGACGATCTGCCGGACAGTCCCACTATCGCTGCCTCTGTGTACGGTCATTCAAAGGACACGCTCTTATCGGTCACACCAACGTTGGACATGCTAATACGTTAGCTCACTTACACACCCTTGAGAATCAATGCCAACTTTGCATTTTTTTCACAATGCCGCGTTTAGCAGCAAAACTCCCTGTATGTCTAATAAACTCCGGGCCTATAGCGCCCACTAGTGTGATGAAACCGTATTTTTAAATTCTCATCCAATTTAGTTTCTTTTTTTTGGTCCAAATCAGCGGACAATAGGAGCTAATTCTGCCTCTCATTTCCTGGTTCTGGCCACAGAGTTCAGTCACTGGTTTATGGACAGACGTCCCCGATCACATTTGTGGACAGGTGCACGGCTGCCCTCCACAAATTATCTCCTGGATCATTTCATATTGATTAATGCAGATGCGTTCCTTTTGGCTCTCACACCCCACCTGCAGTCTATTTGGTGTAAATTACTGAAGCCGTTCTGTTGCACAAAGCCGGTCCTCACCAATAAGGTGCTGGCTCATGTGCGGCCTGGGCCTCCCTAACTACCCCTCTGCCTGCAGGAACCACTAAAGCTTTTAATTGCCTTCTGTGCAAATGGTCCTTATGCACTTGATAGAGTATCTGAAAAGTCAGGCTTGGGTTGGTCGAGGCTTGGGGGAGTCTGTGCAAACGTGGGCGG